ATAAGTTTTAGGGTGCTAGGTTAGTCTATGTTAGTCATATATCGCAAAACAATTGGACCAGAACAGTCCTACAGAATGAGAAAAAATACGACAACTGATGTTAGTTGGGAAATTACGAAAGAAATTATTAAAATAATAATTATAACTCGAAAATTACGCAACATCGTTGAACATACATGGGGGTGCTTTTGATGTTGTATCTAAATGTTATGCTCCAAAGCCAACTCTCCGGCCACCCTTTATACAGGGTTTTATGCTCGAGTTGGGTATCGTATTTATATAAAAAGTCCCGTTCAATCTGTATTTGTGTCTAGTTACACTATAGAGCCAAAGCACAATTGTGAAAAAGTCTGATCTTATATAGAACAGTTTACCCTTTCCGCGAATAAGGGGCGATGTTATGATGATAAAAGACCTTTGTAGTACAGTCAAACAATTACGCCCACAGGTTCTCTTTTACCGCAATCCTTTTAATAAACTATGTAAGCACACAATGAACAAAACATTGGTCAAATAAAACTAGAAGCGTTTCATTTTATTGGTTCATTTCATACGGCAATTGTCATGGTTCCTTTATGGAAATGGAAAGTTTTATGTTTACCATTTAATAGCTGTTTGCGAACTATGTTGTGAGCTTTTCCCCTGATTGATATTGGAAAAATAAGTTTTCAAATCGTAAAAATGTTTCGTTTTTATTTTGCAGCTTATTGTAGGAGTTACAAAGTAGAGATATGTTTGGAAAATAAATTATAACTAAAATAATATCACAATGCATTTGCCTGTTTCATGAAAAATATGCATAAGAGCTCAAATTAAAGTGGTCTTTAAGGCTGTAAATTAAGAAACCTATAGAATTTGAATTTGACAAAGTCAGTAATAAACCGACAATAACGTTTTTAAACGTTAAACATCACTAAAGAGAAGTGACTACACTCGTAAATTCAAATCATTCACAAATTAACACTTGGCACAAAAGTTAAATGAATGCTAAAAAAACAACTTAAGCGATAGCATTCCTTTAGTTAAGCATTCCATGCGACAGCGTGCGCAGTTTTGAGCGAAAAAGGCCAAAAAGGAGAAAAAGGGGGCGCATTTTTTAACAATGGCTCTACGATCTGACCGCAGCTTAACAATGGGCCCACAAAATGAGCTCCGGGAACTTTTCCTTTCCTACTCAATTACATTGAAACAATAAGAACATACGTACCACGAAACAATAGATCATTTGTATAAGTTTTCGTTTTGCTACGAAACGTACGGTTTGCGGTTGATTTTTTTTGCAAATCCTGCGATGATTTTTGCGTTTTATTTGTATGTAGATCTTTTGGTAGTAGATAAAATGCAACTGGTGATAACAATCTGTTGGGTTCAATTATCACGTTGAGCTAAAGCTTGTTAAGATTCTTATCAGTTGCAATGAGTCTAATTTCTGCTGCATTTACCGCAGTACTTATCGTCTATTACATGGGAGTAATAATATAATCAGCGATAAACAATCTGCATGTAAACAAATCAGATTTCTTTAAGCTATTTGTCTGTGGATAAAATAGTTCCTGTTTTACCTTCATTGTCATTGGATGGCGTTATTAAAAAATACTAGTGTCATGACGGTATTGTAGACAAAGCAGGGGTATGATTTTGTAATATGGCGATAGTGAACGTAAACAATAAATTATTATACTTTGGTGGAAGAGGAATCGACAAGTGAAATAATAAACTTTTAGCGCAGCGCGACGGCATGGCGCGGCGCCCTACGCCGCCGGAGCGTGACAAGCGTTTTGTTATTTTATTTCATTTATTTACTTTTATATTTAATTAATCTGTAATTTTTTCTTTTTTAGTATATTAAGTGATCTTTCTTTTTTTAGTCTATGTCAGGCACAACTGCGAGTGTGGACTGTGGTGTATTTGGTAGTCACCCTTCGGCGTCGCAGCATTCTTTGGAAAGATGCCCGCTATGTTCCTAGGCTCGCTTTTTTAAAGGTAAACGAGGGCTGAATGTACACATTGGACGTGTTCACAAATTTCAAAGTACATTCAGCCCCATTATCGACACTACTCCTCCTATTTTGACAAATCCCTTTTAGAAAAGATTATCAAAATTTAAAAATCTATCCCTGTGCTTAAACATGTTCCCCGTGGTGCCAGACCTTTAGCTGCGCAACAATTAGCAAATTATGTCCGTCTGGCAACACAGGAAAACTCGTTACGCGCTTGGGAACAACTTCTCACCTTCCCTTACCAAATCTTACACGTCAAGAAGAATTTGTCTCTTCAAAATTCTTTAACCAAACAAATTAAAGAAAATTGCATTTCGGCTTCCCAATTTGACCCAAAATTACCGGCTTGCAGCTATGCCTCAACCAAAACTTTAGCGGATTTAGTTGAGACCAAAATAGGTGATATTAGCGGTGCAGCCAGGATTATTTTCAGCAACGACGTTCTGGCCCCATGTTCTCCAGATACGCTTAAAGCTCTGGAGAGCAAACACCCGGCCCCAGTAGATGGTCTCTCTTTTCCGGATCCTCCAGAAGCAGATATTCATACCCTATCTGTTACAGGTCAACAAGTGGATACTGCCATAGGCTCCTTCTGGACCGGTTCTGCCGGAGGCCTCGACGGTATGACGCCGCAGCATCTCAAAGATCTGACGAGCTCAAGCGCCGGGGAGTCCGGCGTGACGCTGCTGAAAGAGCTTACGGTTTTGATCAATCTTATACTCTCCGGCAATGTGCACGAATCTGTCATCGACGTATTATACGGGGGTATATATATTGTACGGGGCCAATTTATGTGCCCGTCGCAAGAAGGCTGGCGGTATTCGTCCCGTTGTCGTGGGAACAACTTATCGTCGCATGGCAGCCAAGATTTGTTGCAAATTTTATAATAATCACCTTTCGGAAAAATTCCAGCCCCTTCAACTCGGGTATGAATCGAGAGGGGGCTGCGAGGCTGCCGTGCATGCGTTGTCGACCTACCTGAATTCCAGGAAACGTGATATCATCCTGAAGGTTGATATAAAGAATGCCTTTAATTCGGTCAAATGGGGATACTATGTTGACAGAAGTTAAAAAAGAAGTATCCCAAATTTTCAGTTTTCTCTGTTATAGACATCCTACCAAATTATTATATTAGGACAACCTTTTGGAATCAGCCGTTGGCTGTCAACAAGGCGATCCCCTTGGACCAGTGATTTTTAGCCTTGCTATTAATCCTATTATTTGACAGCTAAATTCCAAATTTAATGTTTGGTACCTCGATGACGGTACCCTGGGAGGCGATGCGGACACAGTATTAAATGATTTCATATTTTTAAAAAACGAACTTCATGCTATTGGCCTTGACCTAAAATTTTCCAAGTGTGAGATATTTTTAGATGACTCTACCGACAGACAGATCATATCAAAATTTAATACTTTTGCGCCTAATCGGTGGTTGATAAATGTTCACTTCGCCTCCTAGGTGCGCCAGTGTTCGAGGACTCTTTTCCAAGTTTTATTGAAGAAAAAATTTAAAATTTTTCTGTCGTTTCAGAAAAACTATATCACATTAGAATGCATTCGGCTTATACTATTATTCGGTTTTGTTGGTTCGGTCCCAAATTTATGTACTATTTGCGCTCGACCCACCTATGGTCTGCACCCCTTCTTTTGGAAAAAATTGACCAAAGCATTAGGCGAACCCTGTCCTTAATTTTGAATGTGGCTCTTGATGACCGAGCTTCGACACAAGCGACTCTGCCTGTCCGCATGGGTGGGCTTGGCGTCCGTAAAATTTCCAGTGTAAGCCTACCGGCTTTCATATCTTCCGCCCATGGTACTGAAGAATTAACCAGGAAAATTCTTTCTCAATTACTGGTTAATTTTGATGTACCATGTTTAGTGGAAGCTGTGAATGCTTGGAAAATCGCTTGCCCAAATATTGACCCCCCTGTCAAATCACTCTCCCAAAGACAATGGGACGAGCCACTCTGAAGAAAAGTGAGCGAAAATCTCTTGAACTCCTCTTGTTCAACTGCAGAGAGAGCTCGCCTTTTGGCTGTGGGTGAGTGGGAGTCGGGGTTATGGCTTCTTGCTACCTTCGTCTAACCTAGGTACTATGTTGGACGACACCACGTTCCGCGCTGCAATTTGTTTAAGGCTTGGAACTTCATTTTGTTCACCTCATCGTTGTCGTTGTGGTGAAGATGTCAACAGCCTTGGACACCACTGCTTGTCATGTAGCCGTAGTGCGAGCGTTTTGCTCGACACGCAAGTATTAATGACATAATTCGTCGAACTCTTGCCTCCGTTGGCGTGCCAGATACTTTAGAACCTAATGGCTTGGTACGCGACGATGGCAAGAGACCCGACGGTATGTCATTATTCCCTTGGAAGATGGGTAGGGCTTTAGTATGGGACGCCACTTGCGTAGATACTCTGGCGTGGGATGGCGCCTTCCAAGCTCAGCGTGTCGAGCCGGTGTTGCCGCTGCTGCTGCCGAGAACCTCAAACGGCGAAAGTATAATAGCCTGATTGGTAATTATGCTTTCGAACCGTTTGGGGTTGAAACTTTAGGGCCGTGGGGCCCAAGTGCACATCTTCTTTACAAAGATATTGTAAGGAGGATGGTTGACACTTCAGGTGATCGAAGGGCTGGCTACTATCTTGGGCAAAGGTTAAGCATTGCCATTCAACGTGGCAATGCTCCCAGTCTTTTGGGCAGCCTACCTCACGGTAGCGATGAGGAAAATGTTTTCTTTATAATAATAATAATTCATTTAATGTCAGACACAGTCCATACAGCCAGAATAATAATAATTAATGAAGAAAATAACTAACATCAAAGCAATAAAATTTAAATTAAGGAATACAATAAAATATAAAAGTCACACTATTAATAAAACATAAAACTCAACAATGTCAAAATTAACAATAATTATAATCAAAACCATTGGAGAATCAGACACGATACCCGCCACGCGTGATTGGACCGTACAGAGATCGAGAGATTATCGACGTCTACAGCCCCAACACGATATCCATCCATCTCCGCTGTATTGGGCAATCCGCACGTGAAGCAATCATCTTCAGGATGCCGTTGCTACTGCCCCTCACACGCATGAAAATAGAAGCGACTTTCTTCCGCATAATTGCATGAAAGCCATCAGTGCGCGCCTCCGCAAACATAGCAGAAGCACTGCAGTACCGAGGCAGCCGCAACAGCATCCTGAACACATTGTTGTACTGAACTCTAATGACATCCGCGGCCCGCCGAGTATGACTCACCCATAAGCTACTTGCGTAAAAAGATTGGCAGTATGCCTTAAACAGAAGTATTTTTACTTCCACCGAGCAACGCGCAAATCTCCGAACGATCATATTACCCCGCACCGCCAATGCCCTTCGTTCTCTTTCCAAATCAGCATCATCCGTCAAATCTTCAGTGAGAATATGTCCTAGGTACCTGAAGCTAGCCACCATCCCTAGAGCCACCCCGTTCAACATAATTGGCGGAACATGAAATGGAGCGTTTTTTTTACTTTTAAATATCATAATTTCGCTCTTTTTTGTATTATATTTCAGTCCATGCTCCACTGCATATGTCTCGCAGATAGCCACCAACTTCCTAATCGCTCCCACCGACGGCCCCAGCAACACCATATCGTCCGCGTAACTTAAATTACTGACACATACGTCATCAATATGACACCCTGTATGTGTATCACTGAGTTCGCCGATCAAGTCGTTTATGTACAGGTTAAACAGCAGAGGAGAGGTGAGTCCTCCCTGTCTCACACCACACTCCATGCCATAAGCTTCCGACAAGACTTCTCCCCACCTCACCTGATTTTTCTGACAACCATACCAGCCCTTCAGCAACGCTGTAACTTCCACCGGCACACCCGCACTCGCCAGTTTGCCCCACAATTTGTCATATCTAACACAGTCAAAAGCTTTTGACAAATCCAGGAAGCACGCGTATACCGGCGTCCCCCTGTCCGTGTAGTACCTGACAGCCTGCTTAAGACACACAATGGCACTCTCAGTAGAAAGGCCAGCTCTAAAACCGAACTGGGCATCATGCAACTTTATGTGTCTCACAAGAATATTATTAAGCAGGCTATCAAGCACCTTCGCGATTACGGTTGCCAGTGATATGGGGCGATAATTGTTTTTGTCTGATATATCCCCCGTTTTATTCTTTACTATTGGTACGACAATTGTTTTAGTTAATTCCTCCGGTAAGTAACCATGACAAAGACATAAATTATAAAACATGGAGAGTATGCGGGGCAGATGAACCCCAGCATTTTTGAGGTGTTCAATGCTGAGGCCATCATACCCCGGAGACTTGCCTCTAGCCATTCCTCTTATCACCTCTCGTACTTCCTTAGCTGTAAACCGAACCGACCTCCGATGGTTGACAGCCCCACACTCTACGGATTGACTGGATGTGATCACAGTACCATGGTGTGGTTTTATCTCAAAGTACTCCTTAAAAAGGTTCGCTATCTCCATGTGATCATTAATACCATCTATACTCACAGGTAGGCCAGGTCTACAGCTAAGTTTACTTGTTTGCTTCCAAAATTGCTTGAAATCTTTTTTAGCATGATGAGAAGCAAGGTTATCCATCTTAATTTGCTCTTGCCTATCCTGACACCATTTAAGCTTTTTCTTGAATGCCTTCCTGCTCTCACACATCTCCTCATACCTTTCACCATACCTCTTTTTTCCTTCGTCAGCCCACGCACAAAATTTCAACCTAGCATCTTTATAATAATCTTTAACATGCATGTTCCATCCCGCAATGTCACCACCCCTCCTCCGCCGTCTCGCCCGCGAGTGTGTAGCCACTGCAGCTTCCGTCAAGATGGTAACTAACCTCACGTACATGTCCCGAAGTAATCGCCTATGTTCTGATATTGAACACAGCTCGTCGCAACACTGCGATAATTGAGACGGAAAATCAATGTATTTGAGTTCTGACTGACATATATCGTGATAACACCGCATCTGGTCAGGTGTACGCTCACCCCACAACACCTTGTTAGGGCCCAGAGCACGCGTCACCCTTTCCCTACATACTACACGCTGCCAATCACATTCTAGTATAAGTGGGAAATGGTCAGACCACCGCACGTCATAATCCACCCACACACGAGTAATAGCCGGTAGCCCTGATTCAGTTACGACGCAATGATCTAACCATCTCGCACAACCATGGGCTTCGCTTACAAAGGTATACGTGTCTGACTCACCCAACTTCGTCATGTCCACACATGACCACTGCTGGTCTCGACAGAAGTCCATTAAATGGTCACAAAACAGTTCGTTTGGATGAGCATTAAAATCACCCAATATATAAACAGTAGGAGTATCATTATGCTCCTCCATTACAGAACTAATTTTACCTAAACATTGTGTGAACTCGGGTAAATTGTCCAGGCAATCCGTTGGCATATACACACTAAACACAATCACAGATTTGTCAATTAAATTCACTTTCACGGCCGTTAACCGCACATCTCCACAGTCTATCACCGTAACTGATCTAAACACTTTATTTCTCCACAAAATGGCCACACCTCCATATGGCCTGCCTCTGAGCAAACCCGCTGATGCATCTACCGCTGATGTACCCGTACCACTGAACTCCTCATGTATCCTGTTTAGCATCGGTAAATCATGGGGCATAATCCACGTCTCCTGAAGGGCAATTATGTCTCCCTTATCACATAAACTTTTAAGACCTTCCCATGATCGCTTTACAGACTTGCAATTGTAGGAGATGATTTTTGTATTTCGCAATCTATCCATTAAAATTATTTAACTACGCCTCATTGGATCCTTCATGTTGATAAAACGCCTGAACGAAATACCAGTCGGCCACAAATTATCATTTAAAAAGGTGCATACTTGTGTTTTGCTCACATAGAACTTAAAGGCGCTATAGTTCCTTTCCTTTGCCATTTTAATTTTAATAGGGGCAACTTCCTCGGCGGTTTTTGACCTGATATACTCCGCTACATCTGCTTCTTTGACGCCTTATGATTTATTTTTATTATTTTTTTTTTAAGGTGTAAATATTTTAGTTTTAATTTATTATTTTTTTATATTTTAAGTTGTTTATTTAATAAATAAATAAATCTACTTTTAATATCGTTTTTTTGTTTTTTCAGGTAGAATTGTAAACCTGATTTCTATTATTGTAATAGTTAATAAGATGTTAATTTATTTTAACTTTTTAGCAACATAACGTTTATTTTTTTTGAAGATTCCGACTATAATTGTCTTATATGTATATTAGAAAAACACAGTCATATCTAATTTGTCCCTGTACCTGAGCATCACAGCTCAAAAACTGCTAAACAGTCTTGATATTAATTTGTGTTTATGTACTTATGATAGTATTATTTATTTATGATCTGTCATCGGCGGTATTTCCGAACCGATACAACCTTCAAACCTTCAAGTAATGAGCGTATTTCTTTTTAAAAGACCGGCAACGGACCTGTGACTCCTCTGGTGCTGCGGGCGGCGCTGATCGCTAACCTAATGCTAACGGCGGTGATTCGTCTGCTCGTTTGCATTCCATAAAAAAATCTTATTACTGTTTTGAAAGCTGAAAACTGTGTTGTGTACGAATTACAAATCACTTTTATAAGGATAATTGTTGTTTTTATGAATCAAGAACGCCTTCAATAATGACGTCACAGTTTTTTACAAACGTAGGTAACTTGATCGTCTGCGTATTTCTGCGAAGTTTTGGTTCAACGATGACCTCATGCTGTCCCTCTCTTTCTTATGATAATTAGGAATGGTGTTGTCTCTTTCGCATAGTTCTTGATTCGTTGTTGGAATCTTCAAAACGAGTTTGTGTTTTTTATTTGTTATAAAGATTCTTTGGTACATTTGTTGGGACTCTCACAACAGGAATAAATAATACGGGACTACTGCTAGAGCCACGTTTATGTCCTTACATTCATGATATATTTATAAAAAATGAACAAGTTGATTTTTATTTTCGTTGTTGAAATTACCATACCATATTTATGACTTTTATATAACAAGTATACTGTAAACTTAACCTATAGCACCGTAGTTCCTGTTTGCAATTTTCTGGGCACAATTCCAAATTCTAGAAACTTCCACAGAGAAATCTTGAACTTGATGCCATGCCACTAACAAATTGAACTTAGTACTAACTTACACTTTGCCTACATTTTGCTTGGATCTTAATATGAGTAGCATTTCGACGATGACGTAATACAAACCCTTTAACTAACTACAAAAATATAACTTTACAGAAAACGAAATGAAAGAAATTATATTATTTATAAATGAAAGAAAATGTCAAATGTTTATTTCCAACATAAAATCACGCCTTTTATCCGAGAACCAGAAGAAGCACGGAGTCTGTAATTGTGCCAGATATATGCCAATAGGCTCACCCCCTATTACATGGGACTTATAACATAAATAGGGAAAAGTGGGTGTTATATTGTACAGTGGCATTAAATGCCGCTGCCTACCTCTTCGGGAAAAAGGGCGTGATGTTTTGTTAAATGTATAAATATTATTATATCAATACAACAAAACAGTTTCAAATTGATGAGGTCAAATGCTCAAGCGCGACCCGTGTTCAAACCTGAGCTTACATCCCCACGGTTGGGCTGACATCGTCCTTCGTCAACTTATACTAGGATTATCGGGGTATCATGGCGGTCGTTTTATTACAAATATGTCAGAACAAGGCTTTAATAATGTACTGCCATATATAGCTTGATATAGACAAGCTAATCATGTTTTGTGTATATGAAAACTACATTCGCAGTTATGCAAAACGATGCTACAATAACTTTGTTGTAGCGAAAACCAATTACAATAACTGCTAACAGATATATTATATCACTAAACGAAATTATCGTCAAACATTACTTTACAATGAGTTCAATGTATGTATATCCTCTGGATTCAACCTAAAGTCTTTTTTTTTTTATTAAGCTGGTAATCGATCAGACCTGTCGCCTGATAGTAAGCAATCGGCGTCGCTGATAGATACCTGGAACACCAGAGGCGTTACAAGTTCGTTACTGGCACAGAAATATTCTGTGGTTACCAGCTTTTTGGGGATTAGGAGTTTGAGAATCGTTGGGGATTCAGGAGTTGGGGAGATTGGGGAAGGGGAGGGTAATTGGGCCTCCAGTAACTTCACTCACACGACGAAACACAACGCAAATGTACCCTTAACCAACGAGCATACATGAAAATACTGATGACTGTTGATGAAGCGAATGAGTTAGTTATAACTGAAAACCATTATACATAGTTTTATAGAGGTATAAATGAATCCTTTGCTTTGATTTGTGACGAAAATGTTCGTGGACTAGTTTCAGAATTTCAGAACCACAACTTAGTATACATATATGTTAATGGAGTCGTGACTGAATCATCGATCAAAGTCACTTAAGACAGATTAAGCAGTGAAGTTGTAGGAAGTTGTTACAATCTTTGTTGCAACAGTTCGTATTCCAAAGAGAATGCACCACGATGCTATGTTGACGTCACGATAATATTACGGTTTTTAAATCGAGAAAGACTATACGCCAAACACATTATACCACGGAGTAAGGAGTCCGGAATTGTGACTGATATATGACAATAGGCTCACCCCCTATTACATGGGGCTCATAACATAAATAGTGAAAAGTGAGCGTTACATTTTACAGTGGCATTAAGTGCCGTAATGTGCACCTCATCCTAAAAAAGGCGTGTTCTTTCATCTTACTCTAAAGTAAAACTTTTGCTAACTAAAAACTAACTTACTGTCCTGTTTCACTCATAACATGTCCACGAGACGTGCAAACTGGTTACTTCTTAAGCCTCGTCTGAAGGAGTTACGGGCAGGGAAGATGTGATTCCATAATTAAGAGGGCTTTGCTAAGAGATATAATGATTTAGCTCGCACTATGAGTGAGTTAACCGAAAAGCTTGAAGTCAAATTACTGGAGACTAGCAAGCCGAAGGGCACCACCACCACTTTTAGAGGCATGTCACCTGCCACATCATCCACAGGTCTGCAGCAACAATCAATAGCTCAACAGATAGCAGAAATTCCATCAACTCGTTACATAAGCTCCCTTGCCATAGTTAGTTTCAGTCCAGATGGACACCTGACCATGTCTGTTACTGGCCAGGAGGGACGAGGACCTTAGGACATCAACAAACTCCATATCCCAACCCCCATCAAAATCAAGTTGCTTAACAGGGACCTTTACAAGTTGGCCGCATATTTCAATAATAACCAAACTCTTGTAGACGCATACAACACACTAAGCCCAGACTCAAAAAGGAAAAAGAAAGAGATACTTGAAGAGATCCTTAAAAGTGTGCCAGAGAAGAGAAAACAGTGGGTGATCCAATAAACCAGAACCCATACAACTCCCCATTCACATGAAGATTCACCTCATAATTGATTTAAACAAACACCCGGCCCAGAAGTTGAGGCTTCATATTTTCCACAATTTTATTTTCCACAATTTTATAATATAATGATGTTATATCACATGCTTAAAGGGTGAAAGTATAACAAACTAACAAACTCATTTTCACAACCTTATTAGTAAGAAATTTTATTTCTTCCATCTTTTTCCTGTATACAGTTGTTTAAGGAAAACCATGGTACAAGGAAAATAATTAAGTATGTATGCGTTCAATATCAATCGGGTTTTTACGTATATAAAAGATAATTAATTTCAGATCAAGTATCATAATATAACATTTGAGGTACTGTTGATTTCTTTCCCCACAGATGGGGCCCAATAGGGCTGATGCCGATACGGAGCCGCGGAAGACATTGCGGGTTGCAGGAGTAGGAACGGGGTGGTTTTTAGTCAGTAAGAGTCTGACACTCCCTCTCGCCTCACCCAGAAGAAATCATTCAAAAAAGGTTCTGTTATACCTTTTTTTTGAGGAGGGTAAATCATCATTATTGATTTGTGTAATAATATATTTTGTGTTGAAAATACAAATATTATGAGGTAACTAATAAGGTTGCAAAAATTACTTTTTTATCGTGATTGTAGATCGCTTATTAATTTGTCTGATGGTAAGCGATGATGGGATAACGATGGAGTATGACCACAGAAATATTCTTTCGATAGTCAAAAAAATCATTTGGGACGTGTTCGGACTTTAGGAGACCTAGTTTCGATATATGAGGGCACTAAATACATAAGCAATTAATTAATTTATATCGACAAATGTTCGTTTCTCTTGATACATGCACTGGTGACCTGGGCCTGCCGCAGAAACTATTACGGGAAAAGTTAAATCAGTTTTGTTGCCTCCTTCGAGGCGGTTTCATCTGGTTTTATCTGGTTCAAGGCATATCTCTTGTGAATGCAATTTTGTAAGCCATAGCCGTAACCCGTTTTGGTGCGGCAGTACTTTGTTCTGATGAAGAAGACGTATAGGCTGTAGTTCGCACCAACATCCTTCAATGGGATAGAAATAAAGAATATAATAACATACTAAGTCCAAAAGATATAGTTTTGTGAAAAATAAAAAAAAAACCTTCGGTCGTTTTTGAAAATGTAAATTTGTTCCATTTATTTTAACTTTATGTTCAACTGAGATTACATTGAAACTTATACTAAAAAAATGCAGGTATTGTCTATATATGCAGAGTGTAAACTGAACGCTCCCGATCCCCAACGATGGTAAAAAACAAGTGTTATTTTAATAAAAGTAAGGAAATAATGTACTGATAGTTGTTGGAAGTATTATTGTAATGTAATGCTCTGTAAAGGTGCTCCCTCAACGGGGGTATTCGCGTGTATTAACGTCACAGATTTAAGCATTACATCAGTGAAGGAGGAGGACCGCATTACAATGCGCACCTTGTAATGATACAATGTGTAATATCTTGATACAACTTGTAACATCAATATCTACCTATAGTTGTTTAGTTGATAACAAGGCTCAAGGCTGATTTTGCATGAATAATACGAAAACAAAATCGATTAAAGTTTGAAAAACAATTTCGACTTTTGACAGCGTTTCGTTTACAGTCTGTATATTAACTCGTCGAGTACCGGTTTTGTAGACACAATTACAGAACAATAGGTTGCGGTCACCGGTGACCGCTTGGTGTTTGACAGTTTAAACCGTACAAACAAATTCATTTATTTATCGAGAAATACTTTACAATAGCACACATCACAAAATATTCATATAAATAGAAGTATCTATAACACAAAACTTGTAACATCAAAAAATCACAGTCATTGCTTTTCGATATTAAGTTACTAATCAATAAATAAATTAAACAATATAATAAATGCCATTGGTACCTGTAAAGCATTACTGTAATGTGTTAATTATATGTAGGTATGTTTAACAGCTTATTCGCGTTATTGTTGAAGACTCGACTAGTTTCAAGCCATGCTAGGACTTATATTCACCTTAAACTTAGACATAATCACCCGTAAACGGTACACGGATAGTTACGGTAACCCTTAAACATTTTTTTATGGGATAGGTCGGTAAACAAGCAGACGGATCACCTAGTGGTAAGGCTAAGTGTGGGAGAGCCGTGTTTCGATACGAATGGGCTTGACCGGAGTGATACTATGACCTCCCAGAAAACCGACGTGAAACAACACTTGCATTGTGTTTCATCGTGTGATCAGTGGCTGAATTACCCCTTTGTGTATGAATGAAATAGTGAATGAATAAAAAAAAACCCCTCCCCAACATCCCTAATCCCCCGATTCCCAATAATCCTCAAATTCCTAATATCTGAAATGCCGGTAACGCACTTGTAACACCTCTGGTGTTTTGGGTGTCCGGCGGCGCCGATTGCTTACCATCAGGTAATCCGTATGCTTGTTCACCGGCTTATAACATAAAAAAAGAAAAGCAATTGGCGCCGTCCTCGGACACCTGCAATACCGATGGGGCGTTGCCGATATTTTGAAGGTATGGAGATTCGAGGTTGGATATGGGGTGGATTTATTGCAATACTCCAAAAAATGTGGTCTGGTTAGTACTTTTCCTTCTTCTCAGGCAAAGTAAAGTTGTCAATATTTTGAGGATATTTCAAGATAACTTCGGACACAATTTCTGACAATGATTTAGGGTCATCAGATAGTTGTTCTTGCTTCAATTGTTTCGCGTAACTGTAGTACAGCAGAATGAAGAACACTGAGAGCACTGAAATAATTAAGAAAAGTATGACATTTTAGATTTCATGGTCCATTAATGCAGGTGGCTTTCCATTTAATTTTGTAAAAGTAGTAGATAATTTATTATTACAAAAACTGCACGGGTCGTTAATTTTTTGGTTCAATACATACATCCATCTACTTCATATTTGATGTTACCCTCACTTATAAATAGATTGTATGTTAGTTAATCATAGTAAGTTGCATCGTTAGGGAGGGAAGGGGAGCAAAGTTTCGATCTCATTTGAGCTCACATAAAAGCAACTTAATTACCATCTTGTTCATTACATTTTATCGAAAAAAACTTGAGGAGCCTAAATGTTTATTATATCGGATATTTTATAAGTTATTTGTTATTTTCATAATATGAACTGGATGGCCGTGTGTGGTCTATGTGGATAATGAACGCAAGAATTTTGAGTTTTCTGTAAAATAATATTTGTATGACTTACAAATCTCTGCTGTGCAAAATACTGAAGAGTTAGTGGTGTGCCCAGTATACAAAGCCACGCCAACTATCGATAAAAGTATGCGGAGAGCAGCAATTGACACTTGTAACTTAATATGGCCTGGTTGTTTCTGAAACAAAACAATTGTAGTTAAAAATTTTGAAAACAACTAAGTGGTCATTTTCAAGCTTTTGTTAGATACGTTTTTACTCTATATACACACGTTTTATTTAAGTTTAAATTATCGGAACGCAAATAAAGAATCATGCATGGAGTTTCTTAGTCATATTTTTGAATGATATATCTCCCAAATATTTAGGAATTTTACGCAATCCAAATAAGGATAACATAATCAACCTATCAACCGAACCAATAAAACTAATAAAAAAACTACAAAAATATGCAAAATACACACCTTATGTAAACCAACAAGAAGGACGATACACATGGCAAACCAGGCCAGATTTAAGCTTCCATCCAAAACAGTTATTATAATAATCTGCATCAACTTGTTACTATCCATGGAATCCATATCAGGAACTCTCTCACCATCTTCTGTGGCTTTGGTACGAAGGTATTGAAAACCATGGGTGTAAATAGCTAAGAAAGCCAGAGTTCCAAAGAAGAACATGGATATTATGAAGTTTAGAATCTGTAAATAGAAGTAACGTGCACATTCATAAATAAAATTTGGCGAGGATGACTTGAATTGGTTTGTTTGATGGAAGGAATCATTTTGGTCTACGAAGTCAGTTTTTCTTTTTTTTATTATTATAAAACGTTGCCCCACAATAGGATTATCTCTTGTGTCGTGGGTGCGTTTACAAACATACAAGTTCACATACACATGACACCCAGACCCGGAACAACAATTTGTGGATCACACAAAGTGTTGTTCCGTGCGGGAATCGAACCCGCGACACGTTGCACGGCAGCCGGTTGCCCAGCCACCGCACCAACCGTGCAGTCATATCGGAGTCGTCTTCTAGCTTGAGATTTTGAATTCTATCCTTCCGTTATTAAGTGTTATTGAAATTATATCAATAGTGGGCACAGAGTCGAGGCATGCGGGCGGCGACAAGGGAAAAGCACACCTATCGCTTCAGGGACAGTTGATAATATTTAATGTTAATGTAATAGGGTCCTTGTTTAAGCATCATTTTATACACACATTTAAAACGATTTTAGTATTTCTATATTATTTGCCTCGTTGGTAGCAAGTGCGACTGCCGGGCAAGGGATCTCGGTGTCGATTCCCGGGAAAATCTCAGTAATGGCACGGCGTTTGGAAATGTGCCTGATATATAATAATAATAATAATAATTAAATTTATTGCAGAATAATTGCTTCCATAATTTGTTAGTAATAATGTTCTTAGCCTATGTTAGTAATAGCATACTTAATTAAAAATGAAATAAAACAACACAAATATGGCTTCCTCCTATTACTTGGAACTCATATCATAAATATTGAAAAGTGGGTGTTACATTGTACAGTGGCACTAAGTACCGTAATGTGCACCTTTGCCTACCCCTTCGCGGATAAAAGGCGTGTTGTTATGTTATTTTCTATATTACTTGTGAATTGAAAAGTGATAAAAATTAATACGTACCAAGCTAGTATACCCAAGTACAAAGCAACCAGTCTCTAGAGGTACACAAAAACAGCATTTTGATAACAGGCTATTTTCTTTTCTGACCTCAGAGTCCTTATTCTGATGTTGGTTTGAGTAGATACTGCAATAAATAAATAATGTACCATTTTAATTCACATAATACACAAATAATTACAATAATAACCTCCTTTTTTGGGAAGTCGAATAAAAATAAACAGTACTTTGTCGGTTAATTGTATTATAATAAGCTCACTCAAATATGCAATAATATAATTCAATATATATACTAGATCTTATCCGCGACTTCATCCGTGTAAAATAATGTTTATAGAGAAATTAATTTAATTTCGAAATTAAAAAAATACTTCGAAAGGTTTGTTGATGCAGATGATCCAACACTGGAGATTTCTCAATAAGATTGTAAGAAGCATTGGAAGTACTACGGAGGCCGACAGGAAAATACAACTGCATGTAATATTATGAGCATCATATGCACTTGTCACAACTTGCGTAGACAACAAGCACGATTAGCTAAGTCCAACTTCATCACTAAGGTGAGCGAGACTGATCTCAAGGTAACTCGAAACGAATTATGAGCATCATATGCACTTGAAATATGAGAAGTGGCAGCTTGTGGGTTCAGGTATTCAGGTACGATGCTGTCTCAGATAAGGACAACGCGTAGATTGGGACAATTGGAACGTTTATGGACTTTTTTCCCGGGTTTGTACTAAAACATAACGAGCTTAGTAGTCTAAGCTTAGCTAAGGCCCTTAGAACTTTTCCATACGAAAAGAGGATGACATGCACGTAGCATGCCCCGTCTCAAAGTACGGCTTGACTGACGCTCATCATATACTTTAAGAGGGTAGCTCCTTCGCACCTGAGAATTATAGGTCCAGCTTGGTCCAATCATTAGGCCAGAAGATGGTTATCTAATTGGTATAAAAATGTTTAACAACAACAATTGATTAAAAACATATGAACTTTTTAAAATAAAAAAATGTGTGCCACAGATTGTTTATACACAGTTGTATACCTTATTACTATCACGATACGATTTAAAATAAAAACATTACATCATGTTATGATGTGATTTCTATTATGTAAAGTAGCTATTATATTAATGGTGAACTACGTTTTTTATGCTAATAACCGTATCATTGGTCGAGCAGTTCGTCACATGAAGTCGATAAAATTGAATTCAATGTTTACTAAAATGATTTTTGGAAACACATTGTTAGAAGTAAAATATTATTATAGGAATGGTCTACTAAATATGTCCACTGGATCGACCTTCATGCTCTATGAAATTAAAACTAGAAAAAGATGAATATAATATCAACAACTATCCCTCTTTTTTACTCAATGAGATGTGACGTCATGTTACATAACATCAGTATTTTGTTAAAAGCGTAAAGCGGATCTATTTCGCCATTATAAGAAATCATCACTTTAGTCTATGTATCTCCAAATTATGCTTACACCAAAAACAAAATGTCCGGTTCTATGCTTAAAGCGATATTGTTTTTTTATATCTTCGCAGTATAATATAAGGAAAACAAAAAACAAAATCTTAGTCTTAAAATAACACAAACCTGTTTTTTATCAAAACACAACTTACCTTTAAAATGATATCAAATACTAAAACTTAGATATAACCTCAAAATAATAATTACACTGTAAGTATCGTCGAGAAAACTCTTCAATAAACTATTAAAAAGCAACAATTTAATACAAATAATAGTATTAAATTGTAATAAAAATAAAACTCACTGTTCATATGGTGACGGAGTCATTTTGACGGACACAAACCGATTTCACTTTTTGTTTTAATAATTGTAACACGTTCGTCGCGCGCGCACCTTTCGTGTCGACTGATCGGTGCACGATCATACACTAGTTTTGTAGGATGGAATCACATGCATTACCTGTTTATACACAACATCAACATTTGCGTCATACTAAGGATAAGAAAGCAATATTCTGTCGTGTGGTTTACTTTATAAGTTTCCTTTTATCTTAACTGTACATTTATTTTGTGACGTAGGCATACCTTTAATGTTATTTCAAATAGTTATGTTATTACGTCACAGAACAGTTGTATTTTTTTTAAGGGGGGAAAATCATCGAATTACTGCTCCCGCCTGGGCTCACCCAGGGGCCTGGGCTCACACATGCGGGAGGGAGTGTCAGACTCTTACTGACTAAAAACCACCCCGTTCCTTCTCCTGCACGTCAAGCCGGAGCCCCGGTTACCCGTTAGGTTCTCCGCGACAGAACAGTTATATTTAAGAATATGATTTATGAATACAAAGAGCTTAAACTTAGTACGTATGAAAGAAAGCCCTCATCCTAAATTGCTAGACAATGTGTCCTTAATTTGAAGTGAAAAATATTCTACAAATTGGAGATATTTTAAAGAATTCTTGTTATTTATATAGTTAAGTTGTGTTGTTATTTTTACTTATTTAATTAAAAGAATAGAAGAAGAAGTCAATCCTCCCTTACGGGAAGCTTTAGCATTCTAACTGCCATACTCAGATACATTTTAATAATTACTTAAATTATTTCTTATTTATTGTAAAAAAAATTGCTAAGGTTTAAATTGGGGTTAAAAATAAGGGTAAATGGTTTAACAGCGAGATTTACATGAAAGCCTTAAAAGCCCGATATAGAGCTTTAAATCAGAATAAGAAATAATAGATCTTGATACAATGTTTTAAATTTGTATTAAATCTAAAAACAGTACGCGTTTGCAATTGAATATAATAAAATACTATAACTAAGAAATAATGTACATGTTGTGCATATTATTTCAAAAATGTTGCAATTATTTTCAAAGTTTACACTGTGCAGAAATTTTCTTCCCTCTCAGTCAAAGTAACTTTGTCGATATTTTGTGGATGCTTTGAGAGGACACTGGCGATGATTTCCATCACTGGTTTTGGAGTTTTAGGTTGTTGTTCCCGCTCCAACAAGATGGCATAACTGTAGTACAGTAAGATGAAGTATGCTGAGAGAACTGCAAAAGTAGTAGAAAATATTTCTATAGAAAATCATATAAGCAACAGTTAAGATGTCTCCATCAACAAGTAAATCAATAATAAATTTAAAACGGATTCAAAAATAATTAAAGACTACCTAGTTAATTAAATTACAAAAAATATATTACCAATCTCGACGCTACAAACTAATGTAGAATGAGCCATGTAAGTGCCATGAAAAAACACGCACACAATCGAAAGAAGAAGCCGAATAGTAGCCACTGACACGTGGAACTTAATATGGCCAGGTCGTTTCTGAAAGAAAATGAAAAACACTCGATATTCATTCATCAAATGGGTTGCTATAGAATGTTTAATCTTTAAAATTCCATATTTTAATAACTAACAGTTTTTATCCTATGATGAGGTTTGTTGGATAGCAATTATTTCATTTTTTTATAGCATCACCTCATGGTAAGCAAGCTGTGCCACCCATGGACACCCGTAACACCAGAGGCGTTACAATTACAAGTACGTTGTCAGTCTTTTGGGATTAAGAATTTGACGATTGTTGGGAATTTGGGGAGATAAGGGTGAGGGAGAGGGGGCTTTAACTTCACTCACACGACGAAACACCATGTAAGCGTTGTTTCACGTCGGTGTTCTGTGAGGGTGTAATATCACTACTGTCGAGCTGGCACATTCGTGCCTAAGCTGGGCGCTCTCACACTTATGTGTGGGCAGGGTAGCGCTAGTGTTTGTACATATTGCTACTATTTCTATAAGACATAAAAAAAATATTTGACACTCGAATACATTTTTGCAGCTTACCACCTACCACATACATTTCTGCACTACTTAAAGGATGACTGGCAGAGAATACTGTTAGCATTAAGTCTTCGTTATGCAATTGTATAAAACTTAAATAAATAAATACAATGCCACTTGATTAGAGCACCTGTTACCAATATATTTCCTAACAAAGTATTTAAGCACAACCCAAAAACATTATAAATGTTGACGCTCCATTATTTGTTAATTAAGAAAGGGCCATAAAATTGCTAATCACCGATCTTGTTGGACGATGGTGTATAGAGTGAACTAACAAACTGCTGTTTCTAAGGACTTCCCAAGAACAAGCTTTGAACTAATTTGCTAATGTATTTTAATGTGATCAAGCCAGGCTGCCCAACTTTGTGTTGACATGATACTATAACTTATAACTTGTATTGTAGATCTACCATAATTAAGGTGAAAAAAACACAGTTTCAGATTTAGGAAAAATATTTATGATGCTCACAATACTGTTAATTTGTTTTTGTAAGATTCTTATGTTTATTAAGTTTATCATTCTGTTAAGTGCTCGTTTCCCTATGCATTGTAATAAAATTTGAAAAAAAAAACTCTAACGGGTCTTTAGTGTGCAACTCCTTCAAAAATGTCAAAGAAACTGCTGTCCAAACATCATGAAAAGATTTGGCAAAACCTATTTGTAATTTCGTACAAACTGGCTTACTGCCAGCTAAGTAACTCAAACAACGGAACATTTATTGTGGCCGTAGATAATTTTGAACATGCCTCGTACGACCAGCCTGAAATGTGCTTTAAGTCTTTTTATTAACTTAAATGCTGTGTTGGAGATTATTTTTCTTAAATAGCATTGAAATCATATTTACAGTATTAAATGAATTAAAACTTAAGTTCATAACATTATAGAATACATACCCTATGCAGACCAATAAGAAGGACAATGCTCATGGCAAACCAGATGACGTTCAAGCCTCCATCAAGAATAGTTACTACAACAGTCGTCATTATCTTGGACCCTTCCACATAATCTGAAACCTTCTGTCCATCCTTATTATGCACCTTATTATGGAGGTATTCAAGGTCGTGGTTATAAAAAGCCATGTAAAACAGGGTCCCGACGAAATATAATGATATTATAAAGTTTAGAATCTGGAAATAAAGAAAAATAACCATAACGCCAACTTTCAGGGTCTATCTGAATATCTGTAAAAGGTCTTCACTTACGAAGAACAAGACAACATTCAAATTCAGTAATTAAAATCATAATGGCCAATATAGTAGGGGAGCCCACGATGCTAAATTGGGATTTACTTGAGCGTCCTTGGGACCTACTGGATTTTGAAGATATGCTGATAGAAAGAAGAAATGGTTTAGTGACAATTTCTTCCACAAGTGGGGGAAGGGAGAATCTACAGATCTTTGAAATTGTTAAGCGTAACTTTTGTTCTAATGGTCGAGCGTGTCAGATATTGATAATGTACATGCTCCATGTGTATTTAATAATAAAAAATTCTTAATCTGCCAGTTTGCATGGTGGGGTTGAATGTTCTGGAGAGTACAAACGAGAACCCTTCAAAATCCCCCCACTCTTGCAAATCAAGTTGGAATGGGCAGATTTTTTAAACGCACTTCCTTTAGCACGGTATTGACCTACCTTCCCTTAATCTGACGAAATTGACTTTATTTAGTCACTTTTTTTTTAATTTTCAGTCCCCCCCTTCTGATTAGATCGGATATATGTTGGGTATATTCAACATGACACTAGGTTTTCCCCATATGTTAATCTGACGCGCTCGAGTAACTACCGAAATCCCTTCATGGGCTCCCCTACTAATAATGTGCAACACTATTTGTTTTTTTTTTTTAAACTGGAACAAATGCAAATGTCTCCGCCATCACACCGTCAAAAAAACAGGATATTTGAGTACATACCAAGCTGATATAACCAAGTATGAAACAACCAGTCTCCAGTGGTACACAGAAACAGCATTTTGAGAACAAAATATATCTCTGCGCTTGTTTGGGATACATGCTGCAACAAATATATTATTTATTATGGCAGTGAACAAGCAGATGGATCACCTGATAGTAAGCAATCGGTGCCACTCATAGACACTCACATCTCTTGAGAAGTTACAAGCGTTATGCTGGGGCCTTTTAGGACGGTATGCTATGTGATTATATATAGTTTAAAGAAAGATCAATTGCTAAAACTTTCCACTTATTATTTTATGGATGAGACATAATAAGTAATTGGTCCTTATTCTTTGTTTTCCAATATTTCTTTTTTATTTGTATGTTAGTATTTCCGATTATTAAGTTTAGTTTAGCCAAGAAATTGTTTATTTTGTTATGTTTGGACGTAACATAGATTTAGTTTTTAAGGATTAGCTATCGCAATGGAGAAACCTGACATGATAGTTTAGGTAAGGTTTTATATAAATAAATATTGTCAAGCTTGTCTAACATGTTTTCGTCAGATCTACATATCTGATGCAAGCAGACATGGGCAGTAATCAAAACAGTACAAACATATTGCCCTTACACTTTAAAAGGTGGTTATCTGCAAAATTAACCATTGAAAACAACGACTGCATTTCACTTGCACAAATGCAGCTCTTAAATCACATACACGTACAGTATTGGAATATGTATCAGAGGCATTGTAGAACATACTTTTTAAAAAAGAGTAACGAATGAAATTTCTTGCTCGTTATTCTCCATTCCAATTTACATTTTGGAATGAGCACCTAGCTTCACCTAGCTTCACCGACGGACTGACTGAAAGATTTATTTTGTATTTGTTGACGATTCAAAAGTACCAAATTAGGGTTTAATTGAAATAAATGCTTTGACTTTGACTTTAAAATGGAGTAATTGCATTTGATTTGGGAAAGTTATTAAAGTAATTTCCTTTTAATTATTAATGAATGAGATAAAACATATTTTCAGTACAATAAATTCATATAATAAAGTAAAAAATGTGTTTACAAATGGAAGTTACGTTAGTTTACGCGTGCTTATGCAGCTCGATATGAATTTATAAATATTATACTATTGTTGTCTGCACAATAC